GGCAGATTTTAACTCGGATTTTATGAAAATCAGATCAGAAATCAGGACGACCAGAAGTGGATTTGCCTGCCCTAATTAGAACTGGGCCAACAATTGGGACCATTACTAAGGAAATGGAATATCGAGGTCATAAAAAGGAGAAGAAAACACTTTTCGCAAGTCTGCCGACACAACACGAGAAGACTGACAAACTTGATTGCTCGGGAGCTTGTCGCATCAAATGCGGCAACTGCGAGCAGAAGTATGTCGGTGAAACAGGAAGAAAAATCGGCCTACGAATCAAGGAACATCAAAAACTCTACAAGAGCATGGATACAGAAGATCCAAAATAGCTAAACACATTGCACAAGCAGGACACGAAATCGACTGGAAATTGACAAAAAGGCTGGCTGAATATGAATATGACGACAAACGCAAGATCCGAGGGGCCATCGATATACTGACCGAAAGAAATCTAATTAACAAGAGACTTGTAGAAGGCAGGATCAGTGAAAACTCTGCATATTGCCTAATCAAACTCGGAGAAGACCAAAAGTAAGATAAGCAAAAAAGAAGACAACTGGATCAAGGTAACATCCTGGATTTTAGGAAAATAAATATCAAGGAGACCAGAAAGAAACAATCAGAAGCCAAGAGAAGACGTCTTCAGAGAGCCTAATCAAAACAAATTGGACCGCAAATTTTCGGGTTGGCACACACTAGGACATAGGAAGTGATATATTAAGTATTGGGAATAGAAACAAGAAAGACGCGGCCGAGACGAGCTATGTGGCTAACAATAGGCGTGGTCCATAAAGCATATCCATCGCTAGCCAACTAGCTCTAGCCTCTACCGCGTCTACTCTCTTTTTATCCGCAATACCAAGTCTATGGCTTCCTATGCCATAGTCTCTTGTGTGTGCCCTTTTTTACGGGTTTCATGAGAAATCTCCAAACCCTATGTTGGCTTTCTTACCCTCTCACGCCGCAATCCTCTTCCCACAGGTCTTTTCAGATTCTGCCTCTTGCCCCGAAGAATCTGCCTCCAACTTTTCTGGTTCAGTTACTTCACTTGAGCTCTGCCACCTTATCTGTACTACTCGAAGCGTCATTTCCCACACTGTCTCAAGCCTTTGGTGGCACGCATACTCCAGCCTCGCTGTGTAGGCCCCTAAAAATCAAGATGTGAAGATTTCTCATGAAATCCGCTAAGAGGGCACACCATGCCACATTTAAATAAGAAATTGTCATAGTGAAGAGGTGAAACGAGTATATAGGATTGGTGAATAGCCCAGGGCAGAAGGAGAGAAACCAGAACTATTTAGCAGACAACTGGTCAAATGATCGGCTTCACTTGTCTCTTTGACGAGTTGTAGTGTGGTGCTAAGTCTGGCAATTCTCAGTGACGATACCGGAGAAACGTCTGAAAATGTACCACGTCCACGGTCCGACTCTGGAAATTTTCATGTATACTATGGACTCCGGACTAGGTCGTCCTACCAATATGACCAAGTTGCGAAAACACGGTCAAACAACTTCTATACAACGAAAGGAGACTGCGACCATACAAAAGGCCACACTATATTGGTCTTCATACCTTAGATCATACTTGTTATTGCAATTATGATCTACTAATAGCATCCGAATATCAATAATTTAGTGGATAGTAATAATAAATCCAAGATTGTTTCACCGATGATTATATTACACAATCTGATATTGGGAATGTCAGGCTAAATTGAATTTCTTGTTTCTTCTGTGACTAGTCGGCACCCGTGGCACTATGGCGCAGTGATAACATGTCGAAAATAAATGCTGTCCTATAAAGGTTTGATTTCCATTTGTGGAGTCAATCAGATCCAAGAGAGGTCGAGGTTGCAGCCCACCCTGAAAAAGGATACCTTTTAAGAGAAAAGGCGTCGTCAAGTCTTCTCATACCACAGTTGGAAAATTCTAAATAAAGCTGCTATTAAACTTCAATGTAAAGTTTTCGGTAGGGTATTTTATTTGAAGCAATGCTAGGCCCTTATACTAATTTATATACAAAAGGCGTCAAAAACTCGTCTATTATAATTGACCAAATTTTCTCAATAACCCTCGGTTTAATGAACCTCGAAATACAGGAATCTCTGGATCTAATTATATGAGCCATACAAATTTCAGCATAGCTCAACGTAATGAAATACTTGATTAACTTCAAGAAGATTTACGCAAAGATTTAATATATAATTTACCACAGGTGATTTAGATTGGGGAAAATTAGGGGACAGTTCAGCATGAGCCATTCTGTGCTATAATAGAGATAAGGTGCTCTAAATTTCTCCTGATTGCGACAAATAGCAGGGCTGTCCTAAGTATTATTCGATGATAAAGCTCATTAATCTTAAATTAAAAAGCCACTTGTGACTTCAGTTCAGTTGTCTCCTTTCGTTGTATAGAACTTATTTGAACTTGTTTCAGTAAATTGGTCATAATGGCAAGAAAACCTAGGAGTCCATATATTGCATAATAATTTTTCATTCGGACCGTGGACTTGGTACATTCCAAGACGTTTCGCCAGCACCGTCAGTGAGCCATGCACCACACCACAAGTCGTCAAAAAGACAAAGCCAACCGTTTGACTACTTGTGGTATCTCTCCTTCTGTCCTGAGGTATTCATCTATCTTATATCCTCGTACAGACCCTTCGCTGTCACAATTGTTTAGTTGCTTATATGAACCTACTTGAGGTATACCATTTTGGGTGGATTTGGTGAGACCTACTCAAACTCCCCGCGGATTCCCTCATTGTACTGAGAGTGCTAGTACGCAATCATTATCTTCCATCTCATATCAGACTCTCCCTCCTTCTCAATGGGATCTGTCTCGCTGAGGAGGATACGTGCTATCAAAGGCTTGAGGCAGAGTGTAGAACATGAAAGCTCAAATAGCACCAATAGTGTCAGCGATCGAATGAAATCAATGAACCGGGCAGATAAGAGAGAGTGAGGACAAGAGGGAGACTCTGATAGGACCTAGAAGATGAGGATTGCGAAACAATGAGAGAACCAGCGGGATGTGTGAATAGGTCTCACTAAATCCGTTCGAAAGGGTATACCTCAACTAAGTTTATATAAGCAAATAAGCAATTATGCTAGTGAAAGGTTGATATGAGATAGGATAGATGAATACCCTAGGACAGAGGGAAGGATACCACAACTGTTTAGCAGACAATTGGTCAAAGGATCGAGTTGTGGTATTGTGCTAAGAATGGTAAGGCTCACTGACGATGCAGGAGAAAAATCAGGGAACGTACTAAGTCCACGGTCCGACTGTGTAAATTACCATGCATACTATGAACTCTGGGCAAGGTGTGTTCCTCTAGAACTTCCTGCTAATAAACCAGGTTGCGAAAACAAGGTCAAACAATTCTTAAAAGGAATAATTTCGCAGGCTGGCAGAAACAAATAATGACAATAGGTAAATTACTAAAATGAGTGTAGTAAGCATGCAGGTCCTAGAAGGAATCTTAATCTAAATAAAAGTAAAAACATTTTTTTAGCCGGTTTATTCTCGATAAGACAATTTGATTTTTTTAGATATGGGCAGGACATGAAATGAAAAAGCTTAAAAGAACTTGGCTCACCTGGCACTCGATTGGTGCAACAGATAGCCCCGTTGGATGGATCGACTGGGCGAAATAACCAGTCTGTGATTTACATCCCTTCGGCGGCGCAATAAGGCTGGAACTGCGGTGGTTGATCCCAGATACGGAAGCCACAGGCAAAGAAATTCCAGTTGGGGCTGAGACAAACACGTGCTGATCTGCTTGCAAACTAGGGCCGGAGGGGCAAGGGCTGCAGGAGACTAGACCCGAAACTGTGGCATTAGAGTTGAGACCGGTGGATGACTGCATGACGGTGCAGGTTCGAGCAGATGGGGCTGATGTGTATACAAAAGATTGCTGCTGTTGTGAAGAGCCAGATAATGAAGAACGTACGAGTCCTGGATAAGAAGAAATACTCGAAGACGACAAATGCTCGCAGGCGCTTGAGCAAGAATTATGGCTAAGATCTGCTCTCAAGGACCTGTTGGTAGCGTTTATAGAAAGGCAGCATGCTGACAAATTGATTTGTCCGGAACTGTTAGCGATTACTGGCGTTAAATTTGCAGGAGTGACGGAAGAAACGAGTGGTACTGGATGCATATTTGAAAACGAAGCTGAACATGGAGAAACCGTACCCACTGTTGTGGTAGCTGCAGATGTCCCTCCAGAGACAATAATCGGTTCGCTACTGCAGGAAGCAGAATGAACGGAACTTTGATTAGTCGCAGACCAAGAGAATGGCCTATTTGAAGTGATGCTACGGGACAACTGGCCAGGCACGCGGCGGACAGGAATGGCAGTCACTGGAAGGCTCGGAGGCTGAGGGCGAAAAAGTGAAGGAGAAATAGGGGTAAAAACTATGGACAAAATCTCAAATAAGAGTTGGTATAGAATAAAATAGTGCCGTGGTTTAGCTGGGTAAGTACGCCAATTACGAAAGTTAGATTTAATACTTGAGCTATGACAACAGAGAATTCAAATAAGTTATAGTGGTTAGAATCCCTTCGCTAATACTAAAAAATTTGAACAATAATGGAAATGTACAGAGATAAAATGGTTTATAATACTTTCAAGCGAAACTAATAATACCTAGTGGTAATATGAAATACTTTAAATTTGAGCAACAAAAATTTAAACCCATAAATTGAATAACCTTAACTGGATAGATTTACGAATGATCAAGTTCATTTATCTGTAAGAACCAGTAAAATCCGGGTTGTATAAAATAATTTTGAACTCATAATTATCATTTAATCTTATATAGTAGCGAAAGATAGACCATTTTCGGGATAAACTAATCTCAAGTAAAAGGCTGTCTGAATTATAGCGACTCTGCCCGCGATTAATTAAAGAGAATGCTTAATTTTCATAATGAACTCATATTTTACAAGCGCCCTAGAGATGTTCTCATTCAGGCTGGATTGACGTTTCGATCTCACCTTATCGACTAATCAGTGCCTAGAACGGGATTCGAATATTGTATTTTGCAGATTGAGGCGAACACTTGGCCACACGGCCCTAGTTCCACTAAAATAAGAGCCAAACATGGAAGAGCAGGCCTTTTTAAATGCATATCCTTTCTTGCATGATTTCGTATCGATATAAAATCGTGTTTTGCTCCATTACACTCGATATCTACATAACAAAAATACTTAAAAAACATATAAGTTAGTATTGCATTGAGTTCAATGGCAAAATACGCAGTTGACTAACGATTTAAAACTGCCCCTAAAAGGAGATGACAGGAGAGGCTTGGTTAACCTTTAAACTAATACTTGTCCTAAGGTTAAAGTCGTTTTGCCTGTAACGTAGCGTGTCCGTCAGTAACACGATTCCAATCGCACTGGAGGATTCGATAAGATAATGAAGATGAAGTCAAGCCTAAACGAGAATAGCCTTATGGAATGCATAAGAGAATGTAACTCATTGCAAAAAGCAAGCATTTCCTTCATTCCAAGATGAATAGGCTCGATATCAATTCATTCAAAAGAGTCGAAACTTGTACATATGATAGCCTCTAGAAAAAAAAATGTTGCTAATTATATAAAGTTATGCATGAAGTGTATTCACCCTGTTCAATTAAAACATAAAAGAATTGGCAGTTGAAATTGTCCTACATTGATATGAGTAAACCTCACATTTTCATTGAATTCCACATGATATTGAAATTTTGACGCCCTTAGGTCTTATCAACAACCTCAATAGGATTGAAACCATGATAAGACCGATGATAGTCAAAACTGCAATCCACTCTGGATGAGTGCTTTTTAGGAAAGCAAGGCGATGAAAATTCAATGGGAATATAAGGTCTACTCATAGTACTGATGGAAAAAATTAAATTGCCAGTCATCAAGGATCAAAAAATATTAAACCAAGAAAGGTGGCCGACTGAGATCATACTTAATTCTTATACTTAACCTTGCGATCTTAATGAGGCATTTCATGATTTGGTTGGCTCGAAACTAAGCTTAGCTTCATAC